TATATATACTTTAATATTCTGCTATATTATCAATGTACATTATGAGAAAAAAATAATAATAAAAATATCAACTTCGCAAGTGGGGTGCCAGGCACCTGTAGTAATAGGGATGACACGCATAGCACGCAACAGACACGTATAATAACAAGACACGTATAATGCATTTCTCTACACGTTTCCGATGTTCTATACCGGGTTTACATTTAAAAAGTTACTGAAAGCTCTAAACAGCATCTTTCGTTAAGAATTGTTTCGAAATGAAAAAAGGTGGACGTCCCACGTCACTAGAAGAATTGGTCAATCTCGGTAGATCGTTTTTAAAGCTCGAGAAAAATAAACATGGACTGACATTTATCGAATCGAACCGCTTATTAATCGTTCGGTCGCCCAGCTTAAGGTGGGGTACTTATGAATATTCAGTCATTTTTCAAATACGTGTTTATATTTGCGCGGGCAGCTGATCAAAATTAAATCACATAGGCATCAATAGCTCGCGCCCAACCGGTAGCAAAATACATTAGCAAACATCAATATACACTATTGTCTAAGGCAATTTGTAATTGCTCACAAATACAGTAACGGTCACTAATAATGAATAATCTAAAAACGGTTTTTTTTTTTTTCGCCTCACATTTGGAAAAAGCAGCTATAGGATACTTTGAAATAGCCTAAATTCGATTTGGGGAGATTTTTTTTGTGGCAATACTTGATTGATTACATTGCGAGTTACCTGTGTTAGTCTTGGTAGAAAATTGGAAACATCGAATAGTGCTTTTTCAAGGCCCTCTTCAACGAAAATCGTTTCTTCGGGAGCATTCAGGAGCGAACAAGGGACAGTCCAACGTTATGAGAAGATGGCTTTACTATACCTAGGCCAGCAAGGTAAAAACAAAACCAAGTACTGGCCCGAGTGGCCAAACACAGTTCATCTCTATATGTTTTGCCTTTATCTATAACTGGTTGCTTGAAGCGAGTACTTTAATTAAGCTTGCCAACAACGCAGTTCGGCAAAGATTCGAGCTTCGATTCGATTCGATCGATAAGCTGGATTCAAAATCATAGCAATAAAAAATTTGGCGGGTTGTGACATTTGCCATTCTGTTGTTCACAAATCAACTGATTTGTGCAGGCAAGGAGGCTAACATAGAGGCTCTTCGTCACCCCCAGGGGACGATGGCCGATGATGATGGCAATGAGACTAAATACAACGATGGGAACAGCAACAACAATGAGAAGACTGCCGAGGATAATCACGAATCTGAGCTTGGCCCTGAATATCAGGGCAAGATTCTGGGACCTAGTATCTTCCAACAGAATATCGTTCAACGACCAATCACAAAATCAAGGAATTACTTGGAATATGGGTACACCACTCAGTTCAACATCGACATAAGCAACATTGACGAGGTATAGATCTGCCAGCAACAATGCAGTAATCCTATTTAGTGCATTTCAAGTGGCTAGTTCTCTCGACGTTTTTCTCTGTGTACGTAGTTCTTCGTAGTAATGTATCCGGAAATGCGCGATTTTCATTGTAGGTATGCTCGACTTTACTGAAAAGCTGTAGTAACAGGACAGCGGTATCTTTTTTGTGTACGAAAATGCTCCGGAGTGCAAACGAGGACCGATTTGATTGTTGAATATGAGAATTAATAAAAGTTCCTTCTGAAGCTCATACGCTTTCTAGGCAACGGTAGCAGCCATACAGAGCCTGTAAATAGTTGGTTTCTTTTATAACGTTTGTCCTGTGTTTTCTTCAATCGAACTGCCATCTTACCGCGTAAGGCGATTATTAACGCGTTCAAGCTGATAGATACGAACAGCAGCGGTAGACTTAGTCGCAGCGAGATGTTAAGTTCGTTCTGTAACCGGAACGGAAGTCAGTTCACTCGGGAGACCATTTTACTGCTATGTGGTATGTTTGATTCAGACAACAGTGGCGGACTGGACCTTTACGACTTCGCGCGTCTCTACTTCTTTATGGAAGACTGGATAGACCTTTGGAAACTATACGACGTGCATGTATGAGATTTTCCGCTCTTTTACCTTATCAGCTGTTCGTGAGGTGCTAACCAGTTACAGGGCGAATGGGGCAACCATTGCCCCGAGGCAATTTCAACTAGTTTATTAGCGACGAATTATTGTACTAACTTGTTTAGTTTCGTATCCGTTACGGAATTGGTCGTGATGGAAAAGCAGAATTGTTTTCGTAGGTTTTAAATTTTAGAGAATTAGAGAAGCAGTACCGATTTTCAAGCACAATTCGTTGACTGGTGCTATAGCTGTCCCTATCTACTTTCAGCAAAAAGGTTGGGTGAATGCAAGTGAGATGTATCGCGCCTTGAAGGATCTGGGTTACAAGAAGATTGATCCGATCGTCGTGCAAAGTCTCGCTCATAAATTCGGCAAAACTGGCAAAAAGCTCTATATAGACCCGTTTATACGGATCTGTGCTGTGTGCAAACGTATAACAGACAATTTCCGCAAAAAAGACAAGAGACGAGAAGGCAGACTGCGCATGAGTTATAATGATTTCATCAAGTTATCGCTAAGGTCATGCTTCTAAGCAATATAGGAAGTTAAAGTTGTTCACGCCATGCATCGAGCTTGTTCTGTAATGATCTAAATAAGGCCATTTATCAGAGCAATATTCAGTTTACAGCATAAAGAACCAACGAACGAAAGGCAGCGTACAAAAAACGACTAGTTTCTCATGTCCTGGTGCCATCATAACGTTAAGCAGCGACAGCCTTTTCGATCTAACAATTCAAGATGAAGCTTTTGCGTTTCTCTAAGATACTAACTAATAAATTCTCAAATAGCTAATAAAAGACGCGTACAGTTTCCGTAGTATACCTGAATAAATGGGGAATACTGGGGTAATGTATTTTTCAATACAAAAATTTATTAAGCAGTGACATAGTTTTATCTACTTACAACTTGTTTAACTTAAGATCTGTCCATTATTATTATTATTATTATTTTTGTCCTCAGACATGAATACATCTCGCAATCGGCCTACTACGAGTTTTCACCGCGCAAAAAAGAAGCCATCTTCTATATTTTGCCGTTCACTTGGTATGTACATACATTCTCGCATTTTCTAGTGAAGTATATTGAAATGGGCGGCGTGCAAGCCAGCGCCATCGAGCATCGCAGGTAATCTAAAAAGCCAATAATGGCTATTTCATTCTACGTAGTCACTAGCGCCATCACGTTTAGCTTAATCCATCGGCGTTTCTGGCTCCATTTTCGTGTGAGAACCGCTGAGGTACTCGGATTTACATTTATGCGGAACCGTATGGATCTGATGGCTGCATATAAATAGTAAAAATGGCAATCTATATTTATGTGTATAATGTGAAGATGTTTGTATGGATATCTTAAGACTTAGCAGTTTCGTAATAGATTCTGCTTGTACTTATCGTCGGGTTATCCGGCACTTTGAGAGTGATTCTTCCACGCAGAGTAACACTGAACTATTCATGATAATAGTTGGGTGACACTTAGAGGATACTTCGTTTGATTAGAAAATGCTCTGATACTCTTTTTCCTGGGACTGTTGGGATGCTGTTGCCGACACAGGTGTTTCCGCTATTTTTCAGAGTCTACAGAATAGACCATTCTCAAATAATGTCACGATTTCCTCACTCGGAGGACCCTCAAGGGGCTACAAGCCCCCTTCATGCGTTATGAACGCCAAACTTCAGATCCATGCGGTAATAATAATCACGTGCTTCTAGAGTTTGAGTTTGACTTTGAAAAGTTTATCGATGAGTGTATTATTATGAAATTAGCCCAATGATCGTGTTAGTCAACTTGAGCCGCCGAATTTCTTAAGGGAATGCGAGCTAACTGTAACGTTGTGCAAAGTTTTACTTTCGACTGCAGTGATTTTTACTGTTCTAGGTGGCTTAATCTCTTTTAGCGAAGAAGTTTAGCCAATATAACTTCTACTTTGATTCGTTACTGAATATCAGCAGCCGCTTGCGTAACGCACCATCCGAAACCCCGCCTTTACGTCTACGTTTCCCATTGGCATCCATAAAACTCGTCCTGGAGTAACTGGGCGCTTTAGACGTCGGAACCAGTTGAACAGAAGGCACAACGTGATCTTTCAAAAATCACTATTTCAATACAACTTAACTAGAGACAGGGCGACCAAGAGTTTGAGCGTGTGTTTTTGTATGGGGGGCAGGGAGGGGGTTCTGAGGGTGACTTTTGAACAGAGTGCTGCAAGTGTTGTGAACGTCAGAACAGGAACATAAAATGTTCCCTCTGTCTATACAGCAGATGGTGTCAATATTGCTGCCTATATGTATCACCTTCCTCGCACATCTACTCGTCCATGGGCTCTAAGCTCTAACAAAATAGTTTCAACAATAAGTCCAGTAGGTGAGGTTATGAGAGAATCTAACTAAAACTAAAACCATCTGAAATCGCTATTTCATAAGATGAGAAACCGATTTCAAATGTGCGATACAACGGGCAGAAACGAAGGTTGAACGGTTTAGAATATAATAGTTGTAGCCTTATGTCAATCGCAGTTGAGGACTAGCTCTTCGTAAAAGCTCGTTGTCCGCCAATCTGAAGACACTAGAATCCTCGGACCTTCTACGCTACCGTTATATAGGCAGCGTTCTATGTATGCTATTTACAGATCGTTATATATGTATATAGGTATAGCTATTTACAGGAGAGCGTTATTTTATGTATAATTTACTTGCACTAGGTAGTTTCGCACGACCTGCAATTCGTTTGCTTTCAGCTATGTTGTTTACGGATCTATTCTAACTGCAGCATCCTCCTCCGGCCGATCGTTTGAAGCGCGCGAAACACGTAAATTGTAAAACACCGTCCATATAAAAAGCACATAGACTTGCCATCTGAGACTGATTTTCAATAAAAAGCAAATTTAGATGAACGCGAAGTCGCTCTGGAAGCATGTTTACTGTCTGTCTACACAGTTATATACAGTATAGACATATATCTATATCTATACTGTTAAGGACACAGAGGTATACCGACAGATATCTACTATAAGATCACAAACAAATCGTCTCTGGCAACAAAAACAAAGAGCTTTTATACATCTCTATAATTGGATTATGTTGAAATGCCAATAGGTATCGGCTATACAGATACTACATTGAATATGTAATTGTCGATTCATTTGAGACTCAATAGCGCTAAGAAACAGCATTTCCCTATGAAACGTTGTTTCTTACTACTCAGCATAGTTTCTATAACCGTTCTCAGTTTTTTCGTCATTGACGGTTCTGCACTTTGCCGCCTATCCATCGTCAATCAGTCACTCTTCTGCGCATTCGGCTATCGGAAAATTCCCGTTTCCAAAATGATATAATTTAATCGAAGCCTGCAATATACATATTAGGGCGCACTTGCATTATTAACGGGCTGGTCATTTCCGGTTTCAGCTGAGTACATAACGGAGTGTCTTTTCCAGCCCGCGCGACTTTTTGACAAATATCTATTTTGGATAAATTTAGTTCAATATACCGTATTAGAATAAAAAGTATTCGGAAGTCTGGAACGAATTTAACCGAACGCCGCCTTTATTTACCGCTAAGCATGTAGCGGCATTTGGGTCCGTACAGGAGACCCTTTCAGATCATCATGTCATGTGAGCGTGTGTTTTCGATTCGTTCATTGTTCTACTACGGCGTAGTAATAATAATAATAATAATAATAATAGTAATGTTCATTATATATAGTTTTCTTGTATTCCTTATATCCGGGGTCAAAGCTCCTCTTTTGCGTCTGGTTTTTGCTCTATATGTCTATACTCGTGTATCACCATAATTGCTCCGGGATCATACACCTTCCCTCTTCATCAGTACGACTTCATGCGCTTGAGGAGACGACTGCTGATGGCGCTGTAGGGTCGCCCCTCCGGCCGTTGTAAAGTGGACCCCGCTCGTACTGCCTGGGGTGCCAGGTGGTCCGCCCGCCGATGAAACCGAAGGTCCAGATGAATAACCAAGCGCCTGTTGCTGTTCAAGTGAGTGACTCCCGGCGGCCGTAGAGAAAGCTGGTGTAATACTGAGCCCATGCAGATGGCTGGTCAGCAGTGGACCCACTCCGGATGATGAGAGGGACGCGGCAGCTGAGACTCGCTGCTGCAATCCGTGTGAATCGTCAGTGGACAGGGGACCGCTAGCCCCAAGACCTCCGCCAGCTCCGGCTGGAAGTGGTGAACCGTCAAGATTTGAGTCTTGCCGTATCAGGCCGCCTGACGGATACGATCCGGAAGCCGAGCTTGATGAATGAGCTATGTTGTAATAGAACAATATAAGGAAGAGAAAAATGAAATGTGCAAAATTATGATCAATATGCAGTTCTAACAGAATTTGCATTAGGCCATTGCTATACGAGGAAGCCGTCCGTACACCTACGCTAGAAAAACTTGGAACTTACTTATATCAACATCGGCTGTACGCCGCAAGCCATCTATATGTACACAAGGCTCAAGGGTTTTTATTCCATGCCTATTATGGCAGTCGGAGGAGTGTGCAAATGACTACAGTCAAGAGCGGATTTAGCTCATTCTATCCTAATGCCATCCTTATAATTCTTACCGCATTATATTATAATGCTATAACGCCAGCCTGGGTATCCGCAGACCATTGTGCTCATTCAAGTAGTTTTAAGACCATATAGTATATTCGGAAACGGGTAATTCCTGTGCGCTTGTTACAAATGTGCGGCCCATTTTACTTTTTACGGCAACAGTTGGTGTACCTCTTGTTCCGTCAAAAGGTGTAAAATTTAGATTCTGTACCGGCTTAAACCGTTTCGTATATATATAGCCATGGGCTAAACAGTGTATTTCCACTATGTTAGCTAATGAAGCGTCACTGCTAGAGAAATTGTTCTTATCTACGCCTGAGTCCTTTTAGAAGATGTTTACCTATTGCTCATAACCCATTTGTGTAGTATATAACATTGGACGCAGCCACTTATAGGCAGATCTACATACTATCAAACTTCAACCTCGTTACGTCACCAAAAGTACTCACCACCGGGGCTTGAACGAGATAAGCGTAGATCAGCGCTTAGCCCGTGCTGGCTTTGCAGACCCGGATAACCCACACCAATGTCTGTGGCAAAGAACTGATGGCTCGCGGCGCCTGAGTGTCTCATTGAAGACATCGATGACATTAGGCTGCCATAGCCTGTTGCCGAGGCAACTGACGCAGACGATTTTTTCGAACTTTTTTTCGGAGCCGCACCGTCGACGCTTTTCGGTTTTCGTTTCCGCGTCTGAATGCCGTCCTTCTTCATGGCAGCTGGACGATTCACCTACGAAGAGACAGAGCAAAAGACCACCTTCCGCATAGCGTAAACTGCAGACAGACATAATAATTCGGCAGGTGACACGTGTATAGGAATCATTGCCAACATACTTCCTTTTTAATTTGTGCCCAAAGCGGCTTTCCTTTCACTGACAACTCTAAAACAGACACCGTAGATTATTCAAAGCTGATTGAGTAGAGTTCGATATTCTGCTGTACCAGTGGCGTTGCCGAATCCGTACGAAAACCGCTATTTTACGCGAGACGTATTCGTCGTTGCTGACGAAAAATGATATATCCCTTAACGTAATGTGACGTCTTAGCGGCGTACTAAAGATGACAAGACTGACGCTTGCACACATGGAGCAAAAATGCTCAAACCTACAAATGCCTGCCAACAAAAAACCGATCGACACATTTTACAGTTTTTAATATATTCTTTGTTATTTTAGTTCAAGACCTAATTGACAAAGTCTAAATACAAACATGTCTTCGATCAAAACGTGTACGATAAAACCTATTTTAAAAAAATACTTTATTTTTTAGTTCGAACGACCTTTTATCAGGGTTATGTACTGAAAAAACGTTTTTTTTCCACAAACTGCCCCGAATGAATGATTCGTTTGTAATATATTTCTCTAGCGCTTTTAGCTCATCAGCCTTCGGGAGCCAGTCTTAGAAGCAATTTATCTTTAGCTATACAATGGCTAAATAATTAGCAAAGTTAAGCGGCATTTTACGATACTGACTATTACCGTTTCATACGACAGTAGTTCTGCAGCACAAAACAGAAACCAACTGTTGATCAATCAGTTTTTTTTGGTCTTCTGAATCTGATCGAACAAAGTAGCCGTACAAGAAAATCGTCCAAATAATTTATACCTTAATTAACCCGGGTGTTTTTTTTCAAAAATCAGCCATTTAGTACCTAAGCGGTGGTTGTGGCATTGGGTGGCATTAATTTCACGTCTATTTCCAGGCTAGATAATGTTGAATTGAGAGAAGTTTGAAATAAATACTTACGATCGCATATATTAAAAAGAAAAAAGAACAAACAGCTCTCTTTGATAAGCTTCTGCCCTGGGATATATATATCCTACGACAATAATAATTGTACGGGTTAGAATTTATAGTTTTTTCAGTTACACTGCGGAATCTTTTGAGCTATAAATCTAGACTACACTATCTATGAATAAGTCAAGACGAGTATAGTAAAATGGCTTACCCCGTGCAGTTTGTAGTATAGTCCACAGGCATTACAGACGGGCTCTCCCTGATTGTTTCTACGCCATAGCGTAGTATTGTTCGTATCACAATTCGAACAAATCAACCCCGGTCGCTTATTTAGACTTGGCTATAATACAGAAAAACAGGACTGCGTTATTGACTAATGAAACATGTTAATTAGCCGTATAGTAGGAAGTTTAAATATAATAACTAAACTTATAATTCAGATCAGATACGTTCGCTTTGGCCGAAATTACCGGCCTATATGAAATTATTTAATTGAGTAAATAGATAACGATGTGTATAGTATATCGGTATCAGCCTATTCGTCGTCTGTAACAAAACAAACCTACGAAAGTTTCTGTGAATGTACACCCATTAGCTGTTCTTAGTAGTGCAAGTAAATAGAGCTATTTATTACTCACATCCTAATGCAACTCACTCAACTGTAACTTAGACCCAAGTGTTTTTTCGGCCGTCGGTAGTGGGTCATACCCAACCGCTTCACCCAACATAAATAACGACACATCGTATTACTAAATGGTTTTTTTATCCTATTGCGACTAATGGTACTGTCGGCCAATTTGACATTGACTCCTAGGCTTCTAAATTGGTTTTTCGTTCAAACAAGATCAGTATCTTTCGGTTATCTGCTTCATCCGCAGAGCCGTACCGACCCGTGGTGGACGTATACGTTTTAGTTCTTTAGCCTCAATCGAAATTTCTAGGGGTCTTCGTAATTGTTTGAGGAGCAAAAACAGCGTCAGGCCACAGTGTTGAGAGGGTCCAATTTCTTCGAGCTGTAAAGGAAACTAGGAGCGCTTGTAAACCCCCTTAAGACCTATACTATATAGGCCTTCAGGAACAGCCGTGAGGCCAAACAACGCAGCGCCGCCTTAGCAGTTCGGCATTATAAGCCTGCTCCGAAGCAGAGAACATTTTATATGAACTTACTAGCTGCGATAAAAGAAACAATAGTCAACTTTAGTAACGCCTTCTAGCCTTACGTTTTACTGCTTCTATTCGATACGAAGCTAATTGCCCACTTACGGCAGAAAAGGGAATTGCACTTCACCGTTTTGCTGCCATCGCCAGCTTCTTTCAACCTTTACCATCACTACAACGTAAAAAATACAATTACAACCCAACATTGTACGAACGATCTATTAGATTGGCAAACGCAGCCGGGCAAAGTGAGCAGAGGATGTGAAAGATAATCTCGTCCGCTGAAGGCTTTTTCGAAAAATATGACCGAAATTGATCGGGAAGCGGCTGCGATAATTCTATGTACATTCTATTTGTTGTTGATAAATGATGGTCTTTGTCAAAAAGAAAGAATGAAGTCTAAGTAAGATTCGGTGCGCCTCACGGGCTACTGAAAAACTACCATGTTCGTATATGGTATGCAGACCTCGTTCAGAAGAGGATGGCGCGCTGTTGCAGACAAGACGTCATCTGTACGTGCATGAAGATTCCCGGCAGACTAGCAACCCCGTTATAGACCGGAGTTGGGGGTAGCAATCTAGAACGCGTCTGGGAATCGTTCTGCTACACGAGACGTTATCTCTGCGACTTGAACTGGTGGCTTCCCCGTAGCCAAACCTACGAGATAAAGCAACCGACGCAGCGTCATTGCAAAACGACAAGTAAAGTCGCGTCGCTTCTCCGTCGCTAACCCGAATTCGACATAATAGATCCGTTTGCTAGTCTCTGGTTAAATTGGATAACTCAAAAAACGAGATGCGCTAGAAATATAATACTGGAAACAAATAAAAAACTGGACGCGGTCCTTCAAATGATCGGGCCAAGTTACGAAACGTTGAAAAAAGCAATCGTCTGCTTCAAGTACAATTTGGAAATGTCCAATTTGCTCTATTGCAAATCATACGACATTTTCAGCCGAAGCGTTTGTTGCCGGTAGCTAGTTCACAAGCTACTGCAGCGGTCGCTAGGAGCTGATCTAATTAGGACTTCTCATAGATAAGGGCTAGTGATGCAGGAAGTGTATCCACGAAATTTCAATATTTAGACTTGCGCTGTTTTTATTTACTAGCGATTGGTCAACGTTTGCCAGGCCGTACTAAAGTTCGATTCAGAGGTACGCCTTTCAGACTCCGCTGAGAGCAAAGAGCATTTTTGATCGTGGTCCATAAGCGAAAAAAATCATGCTTCTGTATAACGAACAATTTTGTTGTTAACAACAACAACAACAACAACCGAATACGACTTCTCTCGGCGATATCGGCCTGGAAAGGGGCCTTAGTCCACCCGTACAGTTGAGTCGTACTCGTATTTCCAGATATAGATGTACACATTGAGTACGTTTCTGCATTGTATTCGCGTACACTAAGCACCTTAGACCGCAGCGTTAGTAAAAGTGTCCCGACGTACAAACGTTACGAAGATTCACCTTTAGCTTGTAAATTAGGTGTCCTAATGGACTTCTTCGTAAATAAAACCCGATATAGGATTGTGCACCTGCCTGACGCATGTATTTCTCCATTATATTCTGCAAATGTTCGACTCACTTCAACAAAGTCAGAAATTGTAGTTTCCATGATATTGATGTAAGAACTACTATGATGAGTTTTATAGATTCGGCCTTGAGTTCGACGAAACCAGCCTGTATATTACTTCAAGCCCTACAATAATATATATATATATATATTGGAGTAGCACGTAAAAGCATCGGTGATCCAAGCTCGTAGCACATGCACGATCATCGAACGTTTTGCCCGTTCCTATAGCGTCTGTCGTCCTTTGCCGCGGCTCTTATCCAGTTGCCTGCGCTAATGTTATGCCCGCCCATGCGAAGCACGAAGGCTCCGCCCCTCGCGCCACCTTACGGCTTTTGCTCAACAAACCCACAGTTCGACAATAGCCGTCAGTGCGTGGCTGCACTGAGACCGCCAAAAAAACTGCGTCTGAGCTGAAAGGACCCCAACTAAAATTACGTTTGTGCCACGACGTGGCCGACATGTACCAGAATGAACATGCTCTAGTTGCTTGTAGCAGTTGGGACAGTGATCATTTACGAGGCCAGCGCATTGGAAAATCAATAGCGACACTGATGTAACAAAGAAACAATGATGTCAGACGCCCTTTGGCGGCGCAATGCAGTCAGTTAGCTAACTTCTCAGATCGAACAGGAGATGCTAATACTCAATATGGCTACATGTCATTTCTATCGTCATCTCGCTATCGTATTAACCTGCTATTTTGTCTTCATAACCGTAGCTATACAGTAAGTTTGTTTAAAAAGCAAGTAGTTATAATCATCAACCAAACGCGAGAAGATGTTCCGTATGGCTTCAGAAACCAGGCGTAGAATCGTACGCTAGCACCAAAGTGCTTTATTTGCTGCGTCGGACGCTGAGTCCGGGTATCTCTTTGAGCGTCCATAGAACTTGCCTTATACTTTAATGATAAAAACAGTACTTTCCTTAGCTTACTACACGTTCCGTGTTACGTACGTCGAATTTAGCTAAGCAAAATGTTATCACATTACGTAACAGCAGCAGCCGGAATTAGGACGACGTCTATCATCAATGGCGGCGTAATATCGCAATCTTGATTGTTACACCATCTGCAGATGACTGAAGAAGGTTGAGGCCAGTCATTAGCTAAAGCTGTTGAACGGAATAGGACCGGCGGCAACCCATGTTTGCTACCTTAAACAATTCAAATACGATTCATGTCACGATCAAGGTTACCTAAACTGCGCCTATTTCTCTTCAGTATTCTTCTGATGTGTGTTCTGACTCTTGTAGATAGAACGATGCGTTCAAATTCGAGAAATTCTAACGAGCTGCCTATCGTAATCGGTGTGGGTCCATCTGCTGATCTTGGCATTAAACGGAAGTCAGTCCTTTCTAAAACAGAATAACAGATTTGCCTTGGTAAACAAAAGCGCGTCGTTTTCGGAACTTGAGCGACGGTCAGCTACTATCCAGTCCCTCTATAGTGAACGATTTCAACGAAAATTAAACATTTCTTTTGCTCAGAATCGACGATTTTCAAAAATATGGGAGGGCCTTTATGACGCAGAGCGGAAAAACCTCAAGAAGGCCTAGATTTAAAGGGCAACAAAAATTGACCAGAATGACTCAAAAGGTCATTTTTAATACCGCTGGGTTTTTAACGCAGAACTGAACGGTCGCTTTGGGAATGGAAGAAGATCGATCGTCCAGATGAGTTGGAGCAGTTAGGCTTTTTGGGACGTTCTGCACCATTTGAAAATTGTGCCAGTTCTAAACCGTTTTTCCTATTGTTGATTTGCAATAGGTCCAAGTATAATTCCTTTCGAATTTTTCCTGTGTAGCGCGACTCATCGATACCTCAACGAGCTTGTGCCTATCAATATTGCTTGACGCGCTTGTGAGGGGATATCGTGAAAAGAACTAGTAACTGCTTTGAACCTCGACTAAAAGTTCTAATCGTTATTATAATAGTTATATTGAACAAACATAAGAAGAACTTTTAATTTAGACGCGTTTATATAGTAATGATTAGATTAGATAGATAAGATTATATATACATTTGTACAATTATTCAGCAGCAGGTTTCCCTGGCTCCCGTATAGAGAAAACATAGCTACTGGGGATTGAGCCATTATTGGAGATAATTATATTATTATGACTTTATAGCATTTAAATTGTTCTGTGCCCGCTACGATGTTGACAGGAACTAGTCAAGATTAGATAATCTTCCTGTGCGACGGTAGTTTACTGACTTCTCGTCAAGATGCTGATATAACACACTGAAACTGATAAAGGAAGGAATCCGTATTGAGTACCTGTAAACACAGGTCACGCGAGCTGAATAAATTGACATGCTACTCATACTTATTTGTTTTACGTACACATATTTTGCTACCGTTCGAAAGCAGTTTTACGTACGTAATTGAATATATATACGGGCAGATATTACGGTGCGGATGCCGTCCACTCATTAAGCAGATTTTAGGTTTTCTTCAGCGCTTTCGCCGCTACATAAATATCGTCTAGTAGTAACTGATGCGGAGATGTTTTTCCAATTTATTAAAAACGAATATTTTGCCAGTGCCTTTATAAATGTTCCCATTTTTTTTTTTGTTTTATTTTCAGCAAGCTGGATTTGCCTAGATTG